GGGTTCCGAGGAAGAGATGACATCTATCACAGGGTGGTAAATATGCTAGGAGGTTTAGTGTCATCGTGAAGATACTGGTTAGAATTAGTCATCGTATCCCAGTTGCGTAGACTGATGCTTAATATATGCTGTTAATCACTGGATTGTCAGGACCAGAATCGATTTTGTATAGATCGCCGCCATATAGATTGACTATTGCTGAGTACGTCGTTAAAAAACAAACAAACACACGTACCGGATTACCTTTCATGATAGATAAGTATTCACTGACCCATTCGTGACTATCTCGGGCTATTTCAGGACAAGCCCCTCAAGTGACCACTCTGGCGATTGAGTTGCGTGTAATGGCATATGTGCGGTGGGGTAGCTTAGTGGTTAAAGCGTCCGTTCGTCACGCCGAAGGCCCGGGTTCGATTCCCCACATGGGTACAATGTGTGAAGCCCATTTCTGGTGTGCCCCGCCGTGATATTGCTGGAATATTGCTAAAAGCGGCGTACAACCCAACTCACTCACTCATTCACTCACTGTAATGGCATAGCTAAATAAAACTGATAATTTAACATGATATGTATTATTAATGAACTCGCTAAACTGTATCCTGACTATATGGTAACATATAAGACATATGCAAATTTAAATAATATTCTTTGAGGACTCTCTTAATGAAGTACTTGAAGTCTTACGCCCATTCCGATTGGTTTGTCGTATTTTAACACATAACTTTCATCAAGAGGAAGGAATGTCAGGTGAAATTACTGACTACGACGTAAAATAACATTCACTCACTCATTGACTTTATGTCCTTTCAGTATTTCTAAGTCGTCATGGCAACGCCGTGGATTTGGTAACAACTAATGCTACAAATACCAGCTTGGAGATCACAGAGAAGGCAGTTTTATACGAGACACCTTTCATGTTCGCACGTTCCAGTAAGTATAACTGTATGGTGATTGAATGGGTCATTGTTTATTCTGATTCCGTATAACGTGAATTATTTATGTGTCAATGTGTGTCACAACAACAGGCTTCACATCTTTCGTATCCATGACAATGGATAACAACTCCTTGTTTCAGATACGCAACATTTCAAAGGTACTCTTTATGGAATCCAATCCAATCCGTCGGTTCTCTCCTGTTTATAGTACGCCACAGCGTCATTAATTCGAATTTGTTTTTTCGACAGCTCTGTCAAGTATTTCCGTTAAATAATACGTTTCCGCATTTCAGGCAATTATTTGTAAGCGTTATTTTCAGTACGCATCCATTATTAAATTATCACCATGACAACGCTATTTGTGATATTGAGTCGACGTAAGCATCTATTTTGAAAGCATTATGTTCAGGCGAACTGTTCTTCAATTTGAATTTCAATTTAGGCTAGTGGTCTGCAATATTTCTGACAATTATTTGAATGTAATATTATTTCGACAATGGCCGCGAACAGCTTACATTTTAACACATATGAAATAGTTCTGATGCATGATATGCATTACCGTCTGTTGAACATCACTTACAAGAAGACCCGTGAAGATCCGGGTAATGATTGGTCTTCAGTAACCCGTGCTTGTCGTAAGATGCGACGAGCGGCATCGGGTGGTCAAACTCGCTGACTGGGTTGAGACATGTCATTGTATCCCAATTGTGTAGACCGATGCTCATGCTGTTGATCACTGGATTGTCTGGTCCGGACTTTATAACTGACAGACCGCCGCCATATAGCTGGAATACTGCTGAGTGCGGCATCAACCAACCGACAAACAAATACTTTAAAAAATTATGTACATAAATAAGGTATGTACATCAATGTAGATACTGAAAGTAGTTTGGTTTTCTTGTTAGAGAGCTTGTACGTCTCATTGAGCAACCTGACTGATTGTTAAACCTTAAACATTTCAGGTGAGAGTGTGTTCTGCTCTATTTGTATTTCCTTTGATATTTGTCTGGTAACCGTAATAGAAAGGAAACAGACAAAACCAACATAAACGTACCTCAGTTACAATGAAAAAGCACTTGAGTTCATTGTGGATTATATATTTAGAGATAAATATAGTCTTTGGTCTATAAGTTCGTGCAAAACCTTATAATTAAATCATTTCACGTTTATGTATGCAATCCTAATCAACATGTTCAAACAGAGAAATCCAAATGTCGTACACGTTTTGATTAATTTCAAAACAAGAAGGTAAATGAAATTGTATCTGGATCTTATACACAAGTTACTTACTTGACATACGTAACAAGGATATCCCAGTATGATTTGTCCTTGATTTGTAAAACGTAATAAAATACATCCATCGAAAACCGATTGAAAATGATAGTGTTCAAGCTAGATGAAGTGGCGTGTAGTGTTGTCTGTAGAAAATGATTCAACACAGGTTGCAGGACGCAGAGGAATAGTCGAAAATTTGACTTTAAAATTGGTCGAGCTTCGGTCCCGTCCCACACCGTCTCCGTGTTTTATTAGGCACAACTTCTCAATTTGCCTCTCTTCAAACAGCTACTAGGGGCGGTGGGGTAGCCTAGTGGTTAAAGCGTTGGCTCGTCACGCCGAAGACCCGGGTTCGAATCCCCACATGTGTACAATGTGTGAAGCCCATTTCTGGTGTCCCCCGCCGTGATGTTGCTGGAATATTGCTAAAAGCGGCGTAAAACCAAACTCAGTCAGTCAGTCAGTCAAACAGCTACAACGGGTTTTTGGCAGGTTTAGATGGTAACTAATAGACACCTTTTCTTCTATTCTGAGTATTATGTATCTGAGAATGTAATTGTGATGCAGAATTAAGCCTAGAAAAAGTATTTGCTTTGTTTACACGTTCTCTGGTGCCTTGTTTAAACAGATGCATATTACTATCTTCATGAAATAACATGTATTGAATGAAACGGATTGACCTGGACGAATGAATGTTCTTTAATATAGCAAAAAAGATTAGACACTTACAAAAAGTTGTTTTTTGGTCGCCGCGCGGTGATTTGATTGGGTAATATTTTGCACCGCTGTCAACAGTATGACGTTCTCGGCATTATCTCCCCTTGTCGTTGGCCCGGGTCACGTGATGACGCTGTAGCAGACGATTTCCTAATTACCGACGTCATGTCGAAATCTGATGCGAAATATCGACTTCTCGCTTTATATCAAGCAGGGTGCAAATCAGTTGAGAAGTTACGGAAAGTATTGGGGCTTCCTCGGAGTACCATATACCTACTTATTGCCAGATTTCAAGCTGCCGGCAATTTTCAACGCAAGCTGGGATCGGGACGTCCTCGTAAACTTGGTGGAAATGACGACTAGCACAACTGGCGGCGGTGCATCCAAACTGGTCAGCAAAACAACTGGAAGAGCGTCCCACTGCTTTAGGGAGTACTAGAGTATCTGAATGGACTGTAAGGCGGAGTTTAAAAGAATCAGGAATCATGAAGAAAGTGCCGACAAAGGTTCCGTTGATGACGCAAGAGCACAAGGGAAAAGACGGGAGTGGTGTGAGCGTAATAGGGACATTGACTTTCCAAACTGGATATTTACAGACGAATCGAAGTTCCAATTTTTCCGAATTACAAGGAAAAGGTAGTGTCGAAGTGGAAAATGCGAAATTATGGGCCCAAAGTTCTCGCCTTCTGTGATGGTGTGGGGTGGGATCGGGAAATTTGGGTTAACGCCGCTTCTGGAAATTACAAGCCACATTGATTCAAGGAAGTACTCTGAGCTTTTGCAAGAGGGACTGCTAGATTCAAATATCGGACAGAGTGGAATTCCCTATGTAATGCAACAAGATAATGCCTGCGTACACACGTCAGGCCCACACCGAAGCTTTGCTTCGTCGGAACTGCATTCAGGTAGTGGATTTTCCGTCCGCTTCACCTGACCTGAACCCCATTGAAAATGTCTGGCAAATCATCAAGGACAAAGTGGAAAAGTTGGAACCAAAAGACATTGCAGATTGGAAACGATTGATTCATGAAACGTAGTACGAGCTATCTGAGGAACTGATAGACAATCTTGTAAATTCCATGCCTTGGCGGATTGAACAGTGTTTGGAGCGAAATGGTGGACTGACTGACTGTTGACTATTTTCATAAATTTCATAAATTTATGTAAATTATTAAATCAAGACGTTGAATCAAAACTTGTCTCATTGTTTTTGCTCGACAGTATATATAGACCTCAGGCTAGATACAGATAACAGTGTACATCCTAGCACCTAGGAAATAATTTGCATATCTTAATCATGGTACATTCTGTCTTTCATTCACAATGTTATACACGCACTTTGCCAATATTTGTATGTATGTATGTATGTATGTATGTATGTATGTGTGTGTGTATGTATGTATGTATGTATCTATGTATCTATGTGCGTGTTTGGGTGCGTATCTGTGCGTTTCCACATTAGGATGGTTTAACATTATTTCTGACAGAGCTTTATAGCCAATACGAACATATCTCTTTGGATCACACTTTAACATTTTCATCCAATATTTAATAACTGTAACGAAATGCTCAGGTATGAATGCCAATATTCCCAATTCACCATAACATATGCCGATAATAGCACCACGACAAAGGAAAAGAGATGTGAGGGTAAATTATTGCAATGAATGACACAATTTGTTGGTACTGTGATCTTTAAATCATATTTTCTTGCCGACAAAGCCATGTAACATGAGAACATGTTAATTGAAATTAAGACGTTTCACACCTGATTCAGTTCGAACAGTGCTGCCACCCGCCGCCAACGAAGTCATCATAATGAACCGAGAGTTGTGCCACGGTATGATCACGCACATGTTACCGGAGTTTCATCACGTAGGCCTGACCTGCCATGCTGCCTACGCTCCTGCACTTCCTATATCCCCGTGTAATGACTATACGGATTGGAGTCAAGATGCCGAAGATGACATTCATGTATTTGGACAACACAGCGTTAACCCAGTCAAAGAGATGTTGCCCATTTTGATCAGCAAGCTGCAGTGGAACACTGTGTCTGTATTTCATGACTTTGGGATGGGTAAGTATGAAAACTGTGTCCAGTTGCTGAGAGGAGTCTGGATAAAGGCAACTGGACTTAAAAACTATTTACACATACCTGAACACTGAAACAGTTGAAAAAAGGCAAACCCGGTATTCGCAAGAGGTTAGCACGTCCTGAAGGTTCTCTTTTCAATAAGTAAGGAGTTTCGAAGACACCTTGGAAAGGGTATATCGCTAGGTACCATTGCCCATTATGTTGACATTTTGGTAATTGATCTGAATCTCTGTGATGCGTAACCCAACCTTGACTGAAAAAAGTAGCTGTAATCAAGCTGTATCTTTCTGTTTAATTTGACTAAACTGACCTAAAGTCAATTTTCAATTAAACAAATTAACCATTTAACAAGGCTAAAGCTGATCGTATAATGATCATGGATTGGAGAATATAAATAGAATATGCTTTCAGAATTGTTTCTTTTATTTCAAATTCAGTTGGGTACGTAACTTATGGAAAAGTGTAATATCTGTGATTGACAAAACCTGCTATACCTGTATTTGATTGTTCTACTTAAAATTAAAATATACTCAATGTTTTCAGGACATACAGTTAAACATCTCTCTGACAAGCTGTCTTCACACGGAATAAAGGCTGTTACGTACATTATCGATGGGGAAATGACATCGAACGCCACGTACGGACAACTGTTGTCACTCTATAACAACACCACCAACAACGACAGGAACATCCTCGTCATGTGCAAACTGGACTGTTTCAGCACATTGTTTGAACAGGTATCTGTAACTAAACTATTTACAATGGTGCTTCCTTAACTCGAGTCCTGTATGGACTAGAATTGGTCCGCGGGCCAGCGACATACAAACACAGAAGAATATATTTCCGTTTTTCTTTTCGTGTATAAATGATTATAAAAGTATCGGAATAACGTCTTGATTATGAGGGAAAATACTTGAAACATTAAAATAGACTGGAATCCTTCAACGTCTTAAGCATATAAAAATTCTTTCGTTTCATAAGTATAAATAAACAGGTTTTGACATGTAGAAAGCAGGCCTTGCAGTGGATCGTTTGGTTATGTAAGATGACTTGGTGGATTGCTCATCACTGTGTATGTTTCTTTACATTATACACCCGTTACGTGAAGATCCGGGTTAGAATTGATCTTCAGCAACCCATGCTTGTCGGGAGGCGACTAACGGGATCGGGTGGTCGGGATCTCATGTCATGCTATCCCGATCGCGTAGATCGATGCTCAAGCAGTTGATCACTGGATTGTCTGGTCCAAACTCGAATTATTTACAGACCGCCGCCATATAGATGGAATATTGCTGAGTGCGGCGTAAAACTAAACTCACTCACTCACGCTTTACATTATTGGTTACTGTATCCTCACCAATAGACTGCACCATTTGATTAATGGGTGGGTGAATTAATGGCTCCTTAAATTTCCAGGTGAACGTATTTGACAAAAGGAATCAAAACAAAACAGCTATCTGGAAGTTTTCGAAATGGTTGTTCTATCAAGAAAATGTCTCAGATGTGTGCCATACCCATGACCTTGGGATAGACAATCTTGCTTTGATCACGGTGCCACCGGCGGAGTCCATTGGATCATATAGGGTAATATGTATGAACTATCGCCACACCTATTTTGAAAAACAGTTTTTATGGAAAAGTAGCATAAACACAAAGAACACACGTTCCATCAAAATGCTCCAACTTAAATGTACATTACTGGAGTTTCGTGCTGAAATTTAATTTTAAACTGCATAAAGTGTCTCCAATTACCAATGCAACATTATAAAAATGATAAAGTTACCGGGACAAGAAACTTATCACATTTTAAGTAATTCTGTAAAACCAAGTAATTATGGCTACTGTTGCTTACAGATTAATCTCCATCAGCATCTTCATACTGCCTACAACCATTGTACAGCCAATGAGACGAGTGTCACAACCAGTCACGACATGGTCCAGGTAAAGTTTTCCAGGTGGACGTTTTGATGCTGACATATGTCGTTCAAGGACAGTTGTACGTCACTAAAGAATTTATAAATATCTGAGAGAATTTGAAAGGATAACTTCATGAAGATGACGTTGTTGTTTTCCTTAACATTACGAACGCCTATATAGTTAAGTGGCTCTCTCGTAAGGCCATAGAACGGAAGGTTGGTGGTTCGAACGGCGTTTTTACGACATTAAAAGATGGTATTTGTTGTTGACCTGCCTGACGTTCGGCATTAAGGGTGTAGAACTAAGACAGGTCATCTTGAAGTCAGTTTTGTTACGTGTTGTTCCATAGGTTGAAATCGACACAATAGTTTACGTGCTGTAAAAGCACGTGGGTTTAAACCAACTAACGGTTTACACTTTAATTCAATTCACTACTAAGGTATCAGTACACAATACGGTGGTAGTACAAATCACAGGCAGTATGATACAAATTCAGTGATGATTGCGAGGAGGACAATAATGGTAGTATTCACCTCACGGCAACAATGGTCAAATCTCCAAAACAGGCTGAGTATCCAGTGTACGAATGATCTTACAGTTGCTGGTCTTCTTGTAACTTGAGATGTAATTCAAGATGAAGGCCAAGGATTAGTTTCCCCTTATATATACTCATGCCAATAATGGTTGTCACCCCCTCCCCCCCTCACTCCCCATCCCCTCCAATTAAAAAATTGAAGGGGTGACAACCATTATTGGCATGAGTATACCTTAGAAAAAGAATCACATACATATAGGGCTGTGATACTCTGTAGTACCTTCTAGAACTTTGTCTAGATATGGCACAGGTCTAAATATTGCATGGGCGGTGGGGTAGCTTAGTGGTTAAAGCGTTCGCTAGTCACACCAAGGACCCGGGTTCGATTCACCACATGAGCACAGTGTGTGTAGCCCATTTCTAGTGCTCCCCGCCGTGATATTGCTGGAATATTGCTAAAAAGCAGCGTAAAACTAAACTCACTCACCTACTCTCTCTAAACGTTGCACACCACTGCACCTTGCTGACTATTCACCTATGCAATGTATTACAATTGGAACACAATGAATAACTCTTTATAGTTACGAATATTTCAAAATAATTGCACCCGTCCATAATATTTATACAAACCATGTACTGCACATTCAGCAGCTGGAGAAAGACGTAGACAGTTGGTTGGGACGGATAGACACCTTGATGTACAGACAGGAGGGCCGAGAGTTTAGCCCGGTTGGATTCTTTGATCTGGATGGACATCTGACTCTGAATGTAGAGGTCTTTCCAAACACCGACTTTGGGTTCAATATGCGCAAATTAAAAGTTGGAACGAATGTGGTGAGTTGCTTTGTGACATGTGTAGCCACAGCTTCGTTGAATTATTACAAAAATGCGGAGGTTGCGTGATTATCTTGTACTCAATTAAATATACTCGTGGTCAGGCTCGCCGACTTGGTGGACACATGTCATCAGTTCCCAATGGCGCAGATAGATGCTCATGCTGTTGATCCCTGGAAAGTCTGGTCCAAACTCGATTATTTACAGACCGCCGCCATATAGGTGGGATATTGCTTAGTGCGGCGTAAAACTAACTCACTTACTCACTCTAACGTTGATTTAGTCACCACATAAGATATGCTTCTATTTCATAATCATCAAAACACAATTGCTATACTGTAGAAGGACGTTTATGGTAGGCGCGGTAGGCGTCTGACTTTGTGTGCTGGCGATTAGGTGCCTGACTCTGAGGGTGTGGGTTCGAAACTCCTATGGGACTCGACCCAAAAAGGTACTAGAATTTGTACTTTACTGAGAAAGTGTAAACCCAAGTATAACATATGATACAAACGGAATTGGTTTCTGAGGAAAGTCAAGACTGGGTATTCTTTTGCAATATTTCTGTTATAGTGGCATCCATTTGTGATACTATCCGACACATCGAGTTCTGGCTTTGGGGGGCTATGCTTCGATCTTCTTGAAGAAATCTCAACTTTGCTTAACTTCACGTACGTATTAGCTTCATCTGAAATATTGTGCAGCAATAACAGCGACATAGTCTACAAAGCTTCATAGCTCATGTGATCGATTTTACATATTTCACTGAGTGGAAAGAAATATGAATTACTGTATGACTCTCTATGCGATGTATATTCTGTGAAACGTTATTTGGATACGAATGTAATTTTATGTCGCATAATATGACAGCACACAATCATGGTGAACCTATACAGAAGTTTTGATTTTCTAGTTTTTCGATTACTTGAAGGAAAATTACAAAGGAGCCTATTAAAAAAACCGCGAAGCCAGATATTATAGTATGCTTGTTACGGGTGTGACGTTTATCCACTCCAACGGATAAAAATGCACAATTGAAACGATGTATTGGTCTATATAGTTGATATTGGTGTATACAATTGCAGTTTTGAAGTTGCTATTCCGGCGGATAAAGAATTTGGACGGGTTCTGAATGGTTCATGGACAGGGCTCATTCTCGAACTGCAGAAGAGGGTAATGCCATCTCATATATACTCCTCACAAAAAGTTAAGCAACACAAATTTTTAGTCTCATTACATTTTCATTTATTGAAATTGCAAATCATGGAATGATGCAATAGAAAGGTGAAACATATGTACACACGATTAACAAAATGAAATGAAATGGTATTGAGCAATAATAGACTTACAAATCATCAAAAGCATGTACCCGTGAAACAGTCGTGCAAAATGTGCTGCAGTGATGGAGCAAAATGTTAACATTAAGGTTCAAGTCAGTTTTGACAGTGAAGCAAAGTTCAGTAACGCGTATGACCACCATGACCACAAATGCAAGCTTCTACACGTCTTTGCATTGATCAAATGAGCCTTTAAAGTTGCTGTTGCGGAATGTTCTGCCATTCTCTCTGTAACGCCTGCTCAAGGTCATCCAGAGTCTCGTGGTGAACTTGGAGACCGTAAACTCTTTCTCAGGCATTATCATCCATGGACGGGCATTATCATCCATAAAAATGAAGTTAGGACCCGCTTGTTGTAGCAGAGGAATGATTACAGGCAGGTTTACACCGATCAAGGTGCATGTGTGAAGAGCGGAGCACATTCATGCCACACATTTTGCATGTTGTTTCTGAGGGTGGTTGTGTTCTGGTGATGTTGTCAATGTTATCAGATAAATCAATTTGACAGTCACTAAAGGTTGTCTATTCTTTGAATATTTACCTTTCAGTAACATGTCGGCAAAAATCGCTATCGAGATTGATAAAGATATTACACTGAAAATACTTGTTGCATATTTTTTTGTGAGGAGTATATGACAAAGTGATATGTCAAACTACATAACTCTGTTGTATGGCAGTATGGAAAGGGTAACATGTGTGTACTAGTGTTGCGATGTTCTATTCATATTTTCAGAACTATTAATATGCACATGATTATACAATTTTCTGTTCTTTAACAGACTTGTCATGAGCTGAATTATCCAAGTGTATTCATTAGTGTGTTTTCCCTCACAGAATATATGGAATATATGGAATCATAATTTAAAAAATAATCCATTAATCACCTTTGGATACCTGTTCTCGTCAACAGTACACATCATCCATGTTGGCAATGTGATGATAGTACCTGTCGTTATCTTCCAGGAACTGGATCTGGCCGTGGCACCACTGTCCGTAACTGTGGAACGAGAAGCAGTGATGGACTTCACGTTTCCCTATTACTATGATCAGGCTGTGGGCATCTATAAACTTCCGGACCCCTAATCGCACAAAATGGTTGAAGTTGATCAAACCGTTTAAAGGAACGGTTCTCTTGTGCTTGGCCATTTCCTTGGTTGTCGTTGCAGCTTTGTTGTGTATGATGGAAATGATTTGGTCATCATTGAAAAGTGATCTCACCGCGCCAATAGGAAGCAGCTACTTCCAGGAGAGCCTCTGGTACTTATATGGGGCTATGCTGTCACATGGTAAGGCTATACACATCACAGGTCAATGTAGCATTACTCCAACCGATTATAAGCACACTGAACTGTGGTAAAATGACATCTTTAAACGTATTTCCAATGGTACGAATCCGTCCAAGTTATCAGCCCGTGTTTAGTAATCATAATGAAACACAATTATTGCCACAGGTAACGGTGAGTGAGTGAGTCTAGTTTTACGCCGCACTCAGCAATAGTCCAGCTATATGGCGGCTTTCTGTAAATAATCGAGTCTGGACTAGACAAACCAGTGATCAACAGCATGAGCATCGATCTACGCAATTGGGATACGATGACATGTGTCAACCAAATCAGCAAGCCTCACCACCCGATCCTCTTACGACAAGCATGGCTTACTGAAGATCAATTCCAACCCTGATCTTCACGGGTCGTCACAAGTAACGAAATTAGCATTTTGTCTTTGCCGCAACTATATCACGGATCCTGACTAGTCTTATAAAGGACCGCCATCATCCAGCTGGAATAGTGCGGCGTTGAACAAAAATATTTGTTTAAAATCACAACCAGTGCATACCTCAACTGACTCCATTTTCGTATAATGCTTTCAAATATTGCAGGTGGCAGCCAACAACCACGATCTGAGTCTGGACGAATTCTGGTTGGGTTTTGGTGGTTGTTCTGCATTGTAATCGCTGCTTCTTACAGTGGAACTCTAATAGCTTTCCTCACTGTGAATCGAGATATATTGCCATTCAGCACCATAGCAGATATAGCATCGCAGAACGAATACAGATGGGGCATCGTTGGAGGCAGCTCCTATGTTACATACCTTGAAGTTAGTGTTTAAACTCATTCGTTTCATAAAGAATTCTGTCCATTTCCTAAAACAAGTCTCTTTCTAATACCAACTGTTGGTTCATACTCCAATATCATAAGCATTTTACATCTGTCAAACATTATTGCAAAACAGCTGTTAACGAAGATTGCTTGTCAAATATCTGAAACGTTTAATCGTAGTACTAATGTTTGACGATTATGTGACTTTGAATATAGTAATGTATGTATCAATGATATTAATTACGTTTAACAGAGCTTTTGCTATGTTAAACCATCTTAGAATATATCTTATTATTTATTTTGTTTGTACATGGTATTAACGTAGGAAGGCAAGGGTGAATCAAACAGAATACTCTGGCAAGGTATACAGCATTTCCTGGTTGACGATGATGATGTTCTGTCTCAATCTGCGGACGTCCACATGCAGAAGGTGCTGGATGGAGCCTATGTTTTCTTCTGCGACAAAGAGTCTTTGACTCCATGGCTGTCAAATCACTGCGACCTAGCAATCACCAAAGAGGCACTTCTTCCCTTCACGTATGCAATTGGGCTTCCTAAAGAATCACCTTATGCGGATATTTTTTCTGACACGTATGTTGATACCTGTAGTTAATTTATGTTTGTGAGTTTGTGAGTGGGACGGGTTCAACGCCGATTTGAACAGTATTCAGGGTATATAGAGAGCGTCAAGTTGATGTGAGATAAAAGCCACGAGTGACACAGGCTGTCGACGTTTAATGCTTGATGAAACCGGCTGAATGAAAACCGCTGAAACTGTATGGTTGAATGGAAATGTATTTTGTTTGTGATGCTGAAAAATATAATATGTTTATGCATCAGATATATTTTCAGTTAAAGAATGGTTAATCAAATGCATAAAGGATCACCGGCAGAATACCATCTCACACTCTGAATTAAGATTTGCTTGTCTTATTCAGGATGCTGAAGATTGACCAGAGCGGATTGTTCCTTACCTGGAAAAGAAAATGGTGGCCTCGTGAGAATTCATGTCTTGACGAAGGCAAAGCCAGTTCTCGACCGATAGAACTTATGGACCTACAGAGTGCATTTTATCTGATTGCTATTGGTATCTTCCTGGCAGCCTTTGCCTTAGGGATCGAGAACCTCCTACTGGCCAGATTTTGTGTTCCTAAGACCAAATTGAATGTGTAGATATTTTTTAAATATACTTCTCTGGATGTTTGATCATAGAAACGTTCCGATTTTACTCTCAACTGTAACGTTGTAAATGGTTTCTGCATGTACATAAATCATTCAGTCGGAAACGTTGATTCTGTTGGTAACGCTTACTTAAGAGGAATTACTAATTATCAATGATTCGCCATCCTGAAAGTCGTTAATCCGAATGTTTTACTGTAGCTTGCGGATAAACCTTTACATAATCAACTTTCTCAGATATATTATCTATCAACATAAAACAATTATAATTATGTGGTTTGCAATTATGTATTTGCTTTCATGAAAAGGCCATTAGCCCATACTAAGCAGCATATTTTAATAGTAGCGGTTGCAATACATTATTACATATGATATGGATTGATACATGAATGATTCTGTCATGTTCAATGTTGAATGATTGAGTGAGTTGGGTTTTTACGCCGCTGTTAGTAATATTCCAGCAATATCACGGCGGGGGACACCAGAAATGGGCTTCACATATTGTACCCATGTGTGGAATCGAACCCGGGCAGTCGGCGTGAGGAGCGAACGCTTTAACCACTAGGCTACCCCACCTCCCCCCATCGTTGAATGATGGACACATATAGACTAGTCTCTTAGAATAACAGTTTGTCTTTGTTATATCTATGTTATATGATACGGTGAAGTATGGATGAATTTAGCACCGTAGTAGCAACAGCGAGAGTGAAATGTATTCAGTCCTGTTATTTGTTCTTTTATGCATTGTGCGAATACTATGTTTTCTACCACCTCTACTTGTCTACACTTTTTGATTGAATGCTAAAAGGAATTATAGCTACGATGTTCATGCTGTTGATCACTGGATTGTCTGGTCCAGACTCGATTATTTACAGACCGCCGCCATATAGCTGGAATATAGCTGAGTGTGGCGTAAAACCAAACTCACTCACTCACTCACTTATACGAGTGACACTTCCTTTAAAGCACCAACGATGCTTTGTTTAATGATTTAAACATTAATGATACAGACGTATTTGACGCATACTAATCACAAACCTAACATAGCCACTCTTTCTTGATCATGTTAAAGGACGTGCACAGTCGCATTTATATAGGGCTTACACGATCATATAATCACATGTTGTTTAACAGTTCCAACCAACTGTGATCTTATGTATGCGTATGTGTCCACACACTAATATCCTATTACTCATTCATTGACCATTTTAACCCAAGACTTCTTTTACATGTATGTTATAACTGAATGAATTCAACAACATCATTCTTAACATATAGGATTGATGAATATATCCTGATAGTTGTTCTCTGTGATAGCCTGAATGGTGTCCACCTTTTGTGCAGCCCAACTGAAATCATTGTTGAAATATCTCCCCCCGCTACATGAAAATATTAGAAATTCCGATCCTATTTGAGTATCCATGATACATACATTTCTCTTTCCACGACAGCTTGTATTTATTTTTAATAGAAACACTTTCACAAAATCTTATCTTGCGCTTAAAGAATTGAGATCCTTTCTTGCATTTGAAATCCTTAAAACCAAGAACTGATATTTAATTATTGGTGTTAAGTATAGTCCCTTTTCATCAGTCTTCTACATTTCCGGTACATGTAATGTCATCTACACATTTATGAATTCCTGTTTTTGAATTATCCCAAAGCGGGTCAATACTGTCAATATTATTTTAACATTTTATTGGATAGTAAAAATATCACATCTCATGACGGTGAATTCATCATATGTTTCTTTCATCGTTTGTGTTTTTTCCTTCGATCTCGTGTATTTATGAGATGAAATTGTAAATGTAACGATTGTACATAGTATTCTATTGTGGTAGCATATCAGAAACTCATATATGAAAGCTGGGAGCAAATTTTTAATGTAAAGTATTTTAATGTTGAATGCATAAATTCACGAATAAACGGTTTCTGAATAAACACGTCAACTTTTTCATTATACATACATACATGCATGCACGCACGCACACAGACATATGCACACACACATACACACACATATATACATTTGCGTCCAGTAACATCGAGAAAATATCCTGGAATCGTGTTGATTTGTTTTAAATATATTTACTGTCAAACCACTATTAAACTAGATAGTAATAAAATATTAACAATGTACATTAGAAGTAAGTGAACTATGTTGATATTTTGACCACTGTTTTTCATAAAAGTCGGACCAATGATGTAGTTTGAAGATGTAAGTAGTCAAGTCAAATCCCATTATAGCCCTTTTAGAATATGAGTGAGTGAAATAGTGAGTTTGTTTCAAGGCCGCTTTGGACGGCATTTCCGTTCTTTGACGGTATGTCAAACCCACGATCATAGATCCTGCCGTGCCAAAGGGACGCAATTCTGCACAGCGAATGAGGGAGGACCTGGTCAACAATCCCAGTCGAGAACATGTCTAGAAGTTTCATATAATATGGACGTTTCCAACAGTCGATTTTAATGAACTTTCAAGACCTCACTTCAACCAGAAATTTATTTATCAATACTCACGACGGAAAGTTTAAGGAAGCATTTCATTAAATATCGGCTAGGTTTGTTAGACCTTTTTGTAAATGAAGGAAGAAAACATTCCATTGCAAAATCGAAACGAATCTGTCAGTTATGCGATATAGAAATAGAGCATGAAATTCACTTTGTCTTCGTCTGTCCATTTTATAGTGACCTTCGAAAGAAATATATTAAAGATTATTTGTTAGAGATGCCGCCATTGAAAGCTCTCGTATATATTTTAACGACTAATATCGAATCCCATATTTTAAACCTTTCACTATATATTAAACATGCGCTAGTAAAAAGAAATGAACTGTTTAAAGAACGTGTTACTTCCTGTGTGTAACAGTATGAGGTATACATACTCTCTTGTATATGGGCCAGAGGCCTTCTGTACAATAAACCTTTTGACTTGACTTGACTTGATACCTCATTCACAGATTCACAGTTCTGCCATCTCAATTCATCTCTCATCCTTCGTGTAACATAATATAGGCACGGCTGAATGTTTGGCCTTCAAAGACTTTCATGAATCAATTCCCAGTACTAAGCCAATACATAATGGCCGAGGGATCTCTAGACTGTTTACCAAATGTACATAAACTATTCATACATCGACTGCTGACCCATAGACTCAGTTATTGGATAACGATTCCACTTAGGCCAAAGGATGATATTCGACATTAAAGGCATATATCATGATTGATCCTATGAATATTTACACATTGATGGCACCCTTTGAAGGCCACTGTAATGGATACCCATATCCATGTGCGCGAGGTCATTAGTGATTCTCCAATTCTCACCTGAGCCCCACTTCTGGCAATGCTCCATTCTGTCAAGTTAGCAAACAATTAAGCCTGATATGAATGTTGGTTTTGTGATATAAGAAGACATCTTCACTTGATGAATATGATGGTGGCTAAGAAGAGACAACAATTTCCAACATTCCCGTATTGTTCAATGTTCAGATGTGCTGCATAATATCTCCTCTCATTGATTTGCATTTTAAGGATACTCCACATTCATGCCACAATCGGCATCCCAGAACATGGACTCGTATCCTTTTACCTTCTATCAAATGCTTCCACTGTTTTGACTGAATCAGACAGCAAGTGATGAACCCATGCTTCATCCAGTCACAAATCCTTGCAACATTTCTGAAGAAAATATTGGGTTCCTGTTCCCTTGTGACAGCAAAACCATTTGCTGAACTTTGAAATTTTGTGTGCACAAACCACTATGACACCATGCTGTTTACAATCAAGATTTCACATTTACGCAATTCAATTAAGCCTTAAAACACTTCCAATCAACGTACATACAAGAGAAAACAAAAGGCGTGGTTCATATTAAGATGTGTACATGATATGTTGCTAGAAATAAGATCAGAATATTTAAGTATTCGTCTGATCAGTGTTTTAACACTTTCGTTGACCAAATTCATACCTGGAGACAGAGTGACTCGCACTAATAGAGTGATGGTGTGACAACTCAGTGTCAATATCAGGCTGATGAGAAATTGCGCTGATGCAGTTGAAGCAACGACGGTACATTAAAAACAGTGCCTCAATCAAATATTGGCCTAAACAAGAACACGTTACGGGCGTCCTGATCCTGTCGTAGGGGTCCAGCCATCATATCCCAGATATGTTCCATGGCGGAGGGATCTGGAGAAACTGTCGTCCATAGCAGCGCAGTGTTATGCTGACTCAAAGGTATCTCACAGCACATGCAGCATGTGGGCGGGTAAAACCCCGCTGCAGATGACGTTATGTCCCTGCTCGAAGGGTAAGACAACATATCCAACAATGTAGTGTATGCAAATCTAAGTGTCATTAAAATAATGTGTTGTGTTCACCCAAGAGTTGTGATGCTGCCCCATACCATTACATTCCAACAAGCAAACTGACGACTTGAGTAACGCAAGCGTCGCTACAATGTTCTGGACACCTGTAGAATTGTGCAGGATCTGTTCAGATGAAACGTAAACACAGCCGTGAACTGTATACTGTGACTTCCGAACCTCAAATGCGGTCTACACCAACCTAGGCGTTGACTTAGAAGCAAATTGGTGGTATTGCTGGACGGGGGGACAAGATATTGTACTCCGTCAACCGGTTGTGTACGCTACTACCCCCAACTGGTCTCAATGGATGACTTGTCCGAGCTGTTAATGTACATGTTATGTATCATTCATTTCGCAGAAAGAAAACAACCGAATATGGTTGTCTTGTTGTTGTGACGTCAAACGTCAGGAGTGTCGCCTTCTCTAAATAACGTCCCCAAAGGTATGATTATCACGCTCCAACAAAACACACATACAAATTGTGAATCATGGCCTCTTTCTGCAGTTTTGAGGACTTCGAGCCAACGATAACACATTATGCTAAAACAATACCATGACTAAAAAATGTCACATAGATATATTACCGTGTTTCAGAATTATGGCAACTGCGTGATCGAATTAGACAGGAAGCTGAAGTAATTCCGTCTACACACTTTAACATTTACCATTTGCTATTTTGACCCTCATGGTCTCTCGTCTGTATTGTCTTCAAAAACATTACAGAAATTACAAGCTACTTTTTATTCCATCCTGTTATAATCTCCCTCAAAACCTAACTGATGTAAAGAAATCATTATACAATGATCTATTTTATCAAGGAAATCAGTTTTGTCTTCGTATAAGACACTATTGATCAAAACGTGTGTTCGGAAAATGAAGATTATCGAGTAGACAGGTGGTGAGATCTCATGCAATAATCACCGTGTTAGCACAGCAAAGGTAAATATATGATTTCTCCGATTTCTTTGTATAAGAGCAAGTACTGTCTGGGAAATTAAACACACTCGATTGTGGTGCCTCACCACACAGCAGATCCGTGCTGCCACATTATTGGTCATCCTAATAACAGCAAAGTTCATCATTGATTAACACATCATTCGTATATAGTTCAACACTTCGTTAACAATCACTTATGTATTGGTGCATAATCAATCGTCGGAAGTATCCAAGAAAGATTTCTCTCGAAATTGTCTCATTTATGAAAAAAATCTTAATGAGTGAGTGAGTTTGGTTTTACGCCGCTTTTGGCAATATTCCAGCCATATCACGGCGGGGGACACCAGAAATCTTAATGAAGATGCCCATTGAGTATTTACCGGGCTCTTGATTGCCTCGAAGATGCTGGAAGAGGGATACACAATCATCTGCAGCCCACACTTTCATCTCAATATTTGTGTAACGTGACGTAACTATAATATTTATTTATCAACTGAAGAGGACCGAAGAATGTACTTTTCTAGTAGTGTATGAAACTATTCTTTACAGGATTGGTATAGCCACAAACAACCCAGAAATAGCTCCGTACATCAATCAATTGTGATGTGAAAAATGACAGCCCATACTTTCATCTAAATATTGTGTAACGTGACGTAGCTATGTATTCATTTTATCACTTCAAGATAGCCGTTGACTTAGTTTCTAGTGTATAATATCTTTACTGGATTATTATTGCCACAAACATTCCAGGAACATCCATGTGCATGAATCAGCTGTAATGTTCCATCTTGTCATTACTGGCAGGTTTTTGTACTATCTATATATATTCTATTTCAATGTCAAGTGTTCTCGTCACGATATGGCTGAAATATTGCCGATGTGACGTTAAATAATAACTCACTCACGCTTGTCATTACTCAAGTGATGACGGGTGATCCAGTTGTTTAACCTATGTGCAGCGAGTGTTCCCTTTTCACCCAAGGATCCGATGATCGTGGGTTCCACTATTAGAACTGATGGTGATCCACGCGTTGTTTGTAGACATTTACAAAATTCATTACATTCAACTAGTATCAACAAGCAGACAGTGATATATTGTTCAAACAGAAATCGAACCACTCAGCTACACTCAATAACATCCATATCAAAGGGAAGAGTAACTAATGACTTTGGCAAGGCATTAAAGCATGTATTGTAAATAATGATAATACAGCAAAATCCAGTTGGTCCGGACTCGATTAATTAATCCTGACATTTGTTAACAGATCACGATTGAGAACAATGAAAACTGCGACAAAATCTTGTTGTCTTGACGTGAAAGAGAAAATTGCCGGTGATATGACTTCATTATATTCCACACACACTGTTTTGCGCAGCGGAAGTTCAAATAACACCACGGAATGTTCAGATGTTTCTAACAACCTCACAAATAATGCATGAATGTCTCTTGTGTGGAATGCCGGTATTCGCCACTGAGTACCGAGATGATTTACCCACCTTAATCTAACACAACATTATTTATTAACAAGCAAGTACTAATGAGGTCGAATTCCATCCCTACTTACAATACACATAGGCACGAATGTGATTCTGCATCAACAAGACTTTACTAGTTACACTCATGTGCAGCATTGTCGTAAACGCTCTCCCATCAACACCAGAAGAGCCGTACAAAGGCCAACTCCCAAAAAGTAGAATGCGCTCTGTAGGTCAATAAGTTCAATTATTTTGGCCTGAACTTGGGTCTTCCCTGCACATCCACTCCCCTTCGGCCACCACCTACTTCTCCATATCTGGAGTAATCCGCTTTGTTCAATTTTCAACATCCTGAAAGAAGAAATGTGTTCAAGTTCATATTCATTGCTTTCTGGTCCATCTTTAGTAATGAAATAATATTTTCCATCCAACATGTCATAGATGGATGTTAAGTGTATTGTTTGCATTGGCAAGACATTTAAGACACATTTGGACAAAATGGTCGCATTAATGAAGAGGAACACTTCTTTATGGATTGAAAACTCCTTATTGCAATAGATGAGACGTCTCGGTGTAGATCCTAACACCGTTATCAAGCAAGTGCTACACAACATTATGGACAAGGAGAATATTTACATGAAGGATACTAGTATTTGAGGTCATACAATTGAAGAGGTTGATGTTCAGTGTGATGACATTGCTGATGTTGTGTATCACTTGCTTGATAACGGTGTTAGTAGCTGCACTGAAACGTCGCATCTATTGCAATTAAGAAGTTGTCCATATAAAGTGTTCTTCATCATACCTGCTTCTAAATGACACTTAAAGAAGGGCCACATTAATGTTCAAAATCTATAACATAACCGTTATAATGAAAATTTTGAAATGAAATGTGTCTGTCGAATTCTAGTGTACAGGCAGCCCTGTGGCAAACGTTAAAACGTTATCTGGTAGAATGTTATGTTGTACTTCAATGAGCATATTGAGAATTTAAATGGAACTGAAACTCACTTTTCCGATATCAATCTTCCATAGGGAGAATTCTGAGGTAGTCCCACGGCATAGGTTATTTGGTAGAACGTTTCTTCAAGCAATATCAAGTTACAATTGTCAAGGGACCAGATGTCGATCACGTCCCGGTCGAAGATGAAGATGTAGGATCCATCTTCAACGTGACTCCTATGAAGACCTTGATTCAAACTCAGAACTTCCGAGTTACTTCTGTTGTGGTTCATTATACCCTGCCATATCTTCTTGTAATCACTTCTATTGGATGTCTGTAAAAATGATCGGCCATTTCAAAAAGTGTGTGTAGTGAATTGATTATCGCCACTGATTTTCAGATGAGCCTATAATTTATATCTTATAAAATGTAAGACCTTCTTCAACCATAACATGATTCGGTTTTGTTTGCTAGCAATATTCCAGTTATATGGCGGTGGTCTGCAAATAATCAAGACTAGACTAGACAATCCATTGATCAATATCATGAGCATCGATCTACGCAATTTGGATGCGATAACATGTGTCAACCAAGTCAGCGAGACTGACCACCCGATCCTTTTAGTCGCCTCTTACGACAAGCATGGGTTGCTGAAGATCCGTTCTCAACCGGATTAACACGGGTAAAATGATTGGTATATCAATTAATATAATAATATATAGAGAATACCACAATCGGTCTCATTACATACGAATTATACGAAACGAGTGTTCTTCCTATGGTATCTGACCGAGCGAAAGCGAGGTCAGATACCATAGGAAGAACACTCGTTTCGTATAATTCGTATGTAATGAGACCGAGTGTGGTATTTTATTTATTACCCACGTCTTACATGCATTAAATTGACAAAATAGCGTATTTTTGTTATTTTTATGGTTTCAAACCGACACCGGTTTCATAAAGAGGTAGTACAATATTTGCATGACGTCACACTGTAATGACGTCACTACCTTGGTAACCGACGTCACGATGCATGTCAGTTGTCATCGCCTCGTACAGCCTCCTACAGTAAACTACTCCGTAGCACCCTGTTTCTTGGTTTGCAGTTGCTTCATTCGGCTAACATCACTGGTGGAAACATTGCGTTTATGTTTTCCGACGGATATAATGTCTCAGTTCGACTCACAATTAAACAGCGACACGGCAAGCGTTCGCAAAGTTTACATTCCCACAATGCATTTAAGTTGTAGAATGAATGAATTCACGTGTTTGTTATGAATGAAAAAATAGTTACGTCAGAATGTGACCTAATTGAGAGGTCATCGGTTATCCAATCAAAGAATCTCAGGTCAAGTCGTTACGACACAGGTCAACGCGATACGACACTCGTGTGACGTACGAGATTAGTATGCAACTACCCATACGTTGACCACGTGGGTAATAAAATCATATACTACCTATCAAAAGTTTAGACTCACTTAAAGCACTCACTATATGTTATGTATATATGCTCAGCAGCAAAATAAACGTCAGTACAAATTCAAAATTAGATAGGCTCTGTAATCAAATCATTACAGAAATGGACAAAATAAGCGGATCAAAAACATTTTTTGACACATCAATAAATAACTCAGCAATTTCAAGACATTACGTGAACGTTTGCAGTCCATTCAGACTCTTGACTTCAGTATCTAGTATGACCACCACGAGCGGCAATAACTGCAGCACAGCGTCTATGCATGGAGTGCACCAATCGGTTGAAGAAGACCATTGGCACCTGGAACCACACTCTGAGAAAGGCCTGGCGTAATAAATCGGCTGCGTTCGGCTTTGGTATGATATTATTCAGTTTCCTCTGAATTTCATCCCAAAGATGTTCAATTGGGTTTAAATCAGGACTAAGGGCTGGCCACGGCATAATGTTGACACCGTCCTGCTGTAGGAAGTCCCGTAAAGCTCTGGCAGTATGGGCCCGGGCGTTATCATGCTGGAAAATGTTGTTCCGGTGACGTGCGAAATGTGGTATGACGTGGGGTCTGAGAGCTTGGTCGATGTAGCGCACCGCTGTGATGCCGCCTCCTCTCCCTGGACCAAGGTTCAGGAACACCACAGGACCCACTCTCTGGTTCAGGCCTATTCCACCTCATACCGTGATGCTTGCACCTCCCCGTGAGTCTCTTTCCATAACACATTGGTCTGAGTAACGCTGACCACATCGTCGCCATATTCGTGTTCTGCCATCTGCAGTTGATACGCAGTACCGACTCTTATCTGTGAACAGAACAGTTCTCCATTGCCTGTATCGCCAGTTTTGGTGTTGTAGGGCAAACTGTAGACGTTCACGCCGATGACGAGGGGTAGGTGAGGATAGGTCCACGGTAAGGTCTACGGCAATGGAGGTTCCCGCTGTTAAGACGTCGGCGTACTGTATCAGTACTGATTGGTCTTCTGTGTGTCCCCATTGTCTGGCGTGCTGTTTCGGATGCCTGCATGAAGGGATTCTGTACATGCTGTCGCACAACATGGCTGTCTTGTCGTCTTGTGGTCACCCTTGGTCTGCCAGTACGGGGGCGATCATTTGTGGTGTTGGTGGCCCGGCAACGTTACTGCAGCCTGTAGATGGTCCGAACGTTGACCTGGAAGTGATTGGCAATGGCTTGTGCAGTGTGGCCAGATTCAAGTCTTCCTAGCGCCTGGTTCCTCTCAGCTGTCGTGAGTCGCGTCATCCTGCTGACGTTGTAATGTGAATGTTTCAACCAGGTTTGGGGTGCATTTTATAGGGATGGTCCTTGTGAACAGCACGTGCAGCATGAGTTGCATGAAAAACATGGAGAACACCTTACCATCTACGAGATCAGGTTGCGTTTTTGAGACCATTTCCTGAGTTCCATTCTGAGTTTGGGAAGGAATGTCTTTGCTCAGGTAAAGTTGGACATGTTGTCAAAAATATACCATCAAAACATTAAATGAGTTTACAGTTATCAGTTTACAGTTTTTGCAACATTTAGTTCAGAACAGTTGACTGAAGTAAGTGGCTACATTTACACTAGTGAGTCTAAACCTTTCATGGGTAGTATATATTTGAACAAGCAAATGCTAATTATAATAAGTTGTTCAGGTAAGACACCTGGTGTTGTTTTGTATACCTGGAAGAGAGTAGTCCACATGCTTCCCCCATCTGTTCCCCAGGTGTAGTCAGTCTGTTCAGTCACCTCCGCCAGTGTTTTAAAAGGAGGGTAATTCTTGGACACTGTGAGGAAAGCGATGAGATTCCCACTGTACGCGGCAACCATGATGATACAGAATAACCACACGAAACTGATAAGTATGCGCCCAGGTGAGGATTTAGGAAGACTGTTGCTACCTAAACATTAAACCACATGCTGTTTAAAACACTCATATTTATTTTGTGACATTAAAGTATTATGAAATTGAATGTACATGTATTATGGCTTTTCATTTTGTTTTACTTTGCATTTCATTTGAAACCTTTCAAAGAGTGAGTGAGTATAGTTTTACGTAGCTTTTAGCAATATTCCAGCAATATCATGGCGAGGGTCACCAGAAATGGGCTTCACACATTGTACCCATGTGAGAAATCGAACCCGGGTCTTCGGCGTGACGAGGAAACTTTGACCACTGGGCTACCCCACCGCCCCATATTTGAAAGACCTTCCCAGCTTTGATTGAATAGAGAACATTAAAACACTATAAATCCCCGACTATTCTATTTCGATTACATTTACTTTAGGAAATTAAATATAAATCATCCGATGCCTGATGGAATAGCATCCGCGGCACTATTTGATTCGGTTTGGTTGTTGTTTAACGTCACACTCAGCAATATTCCAGCTATATGGCGGTGGTTTGTAAATAATCGAGTCTGGATCAGACAATCCAGTGATCAACTTCATGAACATCGATCTACGCATTTGGATACGATGACATTTGTCAACCAAGTCAGCGAGCCTGACCACCCGATCCTGTTCCTCGCCTCTTACGACAAGCATGGGTTGCTGAAGACAAATTCTAACCCGGATCTTCACGGGTCACTATGTGACATACCACTATATCCTTATATGATGGTATGTACATCCCCCAAAATATTGTACATACCGTGTCTGAAAAAGGTTCCGGATATATGCCACACACTGGAGCCCAGAATGTCCGCCGCGGTCATGGGGAGTTTCTTTTTACGAATGTTTACGAATTCCATTCCACTGAGAAGAAACGTCATGCCGATAAAAACCATTCCTAAACATAGAAACACTTCCCATTTAAACGGTCTGATCAGAGTTAGCCATTTCTTGGACATTTTGTCTGGCAGTTTATAGAGAGCTGCCCCTGTGTCGTAGT